TCAAAAACATTATGGGAGACCGGATGCCGATGCGGTGCTTCTGGTGTCTCGGGACGAGGCGGTTAACGTCCACCAGCTGCGGGCGGGACACTGGAGCCACTCGTAGAGTTATCTGCGCAGGATCGGGCCACCCGAGCGCGAGGTGTCCACAGTGCAGCGACCTGGCCTGCCCATGCAGTGGCGCGCTGCCTGGTGTGCCGCGAGGGTCCGACAACACCGGAGCGCTGTTGCTGGGTGCCCATGCTTGGCCGGAGCGGGCTCCAACTACTCGGAAACATATGATCGGACCCTACGCAGCTTTGGGACGGCGGTGTCGTGGCGGCCTTCAGCCGCGGCTACCTCAGTCACCCGAGAGCCGTGGGCTACGGCCGGCCATGAGCCGACCCGCGGAGAACAAGAGCAACAACTTCAGGACGATTGAAGATAAGACGATCAGATACTCGTGGTGGAACAGATCCTGCATCATCATCTAGCGAAGTCCTGCAAGACGGTGCCCTCACCCTGGAGAAGGTGCTCGATTTGTGTGAAGCCTACGAGCGTTCATCCCAGTCGTCTGATGGCTCGTCATGAACACAACGCAGTGGCTAATATCAGCCGACAGCCGCGGTTGACAGAACACCCAGCATCTGTGAAGGCCATGGGGAGCTAGGGGCTCGCTGACCATGCCAACAGCCAGGGCCCCTCAGTGTCCTGCCAGACGAGTGACCTGACGCGTCTGTGGAAGGAAGTCACTATGCTGCAGTCGGAAAGAGGAAGTTAACACGAGTGAAGAAGGCCCCCATGGCGTTTCATGTGTTGCAGTGCAAGGTAAACACCTGCAGTAAGTAAGGTGACCGGCCCTGTCATCCTGGAGGCAGAGAGGCGTAGGCAAGCGATGACACTACGGTGGATGCTGGTGAAACCTGCTCGACCTTGAGACTTTAGTGCAGAGTACGTCTGCCGTCTCTAGGGATGCACTTACGAGCCATCCACATCCAACCTCCTCAGGTTCGGGAGAATGCATTTCAGCGTGACAGGTAAATACTCTGCGACGTCTGCGTGCCACAGCCCGGTACCAGTCGGTGGATGCCAGCCTCTTCCTGGTGGATACATGGCCGCTGCGGAAGCCATCACAGGCCTGGGTCTGATGCAAAGCTGGGTGTCACCATTTCCCAACATCAGGTGAGGTCTTCACCATACAAGAGGGGGGGATGCGATTCTCCGACCATCAATGGCTACCAGCATTACAGCATCCTCGTCCCAAATGTCCCATCCTCGTCCCTAAGCCCACGGACTACAAGCTGCGCCGTCTTTTGCTCTCTGTTCGAGATGAGGTGCAGGAGGAGCGGAAGACATCGTGGAGAAGATTGAAGCGTCCTCATGGGTGAACCCGCAGGTCTTCTCTCGCAAATTCAACGGGCAGCGTTGACATCAGGTGGCCCAACTCCATATTGTGGCTGAGATATATCCTCTTTCGACAATCGAAGAGTACCAGGCTCGACTTCATGGCAGAGTCTACAGCAACATCGATCTCCGGTCGGCATGTGAGCAACTGGAACCCCATCCGGAGAGCAGGAACATCAGCGTTCATCTCGCACGGTGAGTTGATACGATTTCTGCAAATCACCTCCGGCCTGGTCTCGACAGACTCTGCTTGCCAGAATCTCCTTCCAACTTGTTAGGGAGCTCAGAAGTTTCCTCTCGCTGACTTGCTGGTCGAATCGCTCCATCCCAGTCTGCGCTTACATCCGACAACTTGCTGTGATTCTACGGAAGGAGTGCTGTTCGAGTGGATGGGGAAGAGTCAAGGTTCCAGACCATCAAAATGGTACCGAGCAGCCCGGTTCTGACGCCCTTAAACCGAGACCTACCGACAGTGGTGACGTCACGGCCACGCGCATCCGAATCATTCATTTGATAGCACTGCTGGGTGCTGGTGCCATCATGTCACAGCTGTCCTGACGGCTCAGTGCTTTGTCCTGACGAGCGGTGCTTTGTCCGACGTGAGGCCCTCAGTGCCGTGCAAGCAATGGAGCGGTGGAACGTCTACCTCTGAGGGCGACGTTTAACACTCCGGACTGGCCAGTCCGTGAACACGCTCCTCGCCTAAGTTCTCAGGGGGGGAGCACCTGTTGCTAGGTGGTAGCTCGAATGCTACGTACGTCTACGAAGTGACGAGCGCCCCTGCCAGCAGGATCACTGTCGCTGACGCACTGTCACGCCAGCGGCTGTCCACTACAGGGCCCGTAGAAGAAGCCGATAGGAAAAGGTCGTCATCTGCGTCAGGGGCGAACACCTATCACCGCTAACGGAGAAGAAGGTTCGAGAGGCAGCTGTAAAGGACCTGAGGGTGTTCACGGGCACCGAACACGCCTCCAATCCGCATGGCCTTTGAAGGAGTTGTATGTGGGCAGCCCGTGTGGGCGTTTAGCTTGTCCTGCTAAACCCACAGACGGATTTGGTGGCACTTACAACCGTATCAAATCCTTCGCCATTGATCAGCTCTTGCATGCTCTTTCCGGCTGCTTGGACAACTTCGCCCATCATCCTTAGGCGCTGGCTTATCTGCGCAAAACCCGACCTTCCAAGTTTCGCGTGCAAGTTGGCACCCCACTTCTTCAGGAGTTCATCGTTCTTTATGGTCTTCGTAACTGCATCGTCGTGCATACGAGACAATATGTCCTTGTGATACCCAGTATTTTCTTTGGCCGTCACTCAGGAGCGTCCGGCTCTCTGCCAGCACCGTGGGAATGTCTGGGCATTCTGTTTTGCGAGCCACACAGTGATGTTTTATGTGCATCATGTGGTTTTAACCACAAAAAGATAGCAGTAAGGACATGGCACGTAGTCGTCCGGACGCCTGGTCCGACTTCCTTCCCAAGATCATGTCACCTTCACCCCTTTGTAGGCATCCCACCTTCCAGCGTCCGGGGTCGGGACGGGCGGCGGGGCTCCGGTCGCAGTCTCAGAAGTCTCACGCAGATGAAGAGCATCCCACCTTCCAGCGTCAGAGGTCGGGACGGGCGGCGGGCCTCCGGTCGCAGTCTCAGAAGTCTCACGCAGATGATGAGCATCCCATCTTCTAGCGTCCGGGGTCGGGACGGGCGGGGCCTCCGGTCGCGCAGTCTCAGAAGTCTCACGCAGATGAAGAGCATCCACCTTCCAGCGTCCGGGGTCGGGACGGGCGGCGGGCCTCCGGTCGCAGTCTCAGAAGTCTCACGCAGATGATGAGCATCCCATCTTCTAGCGTCCGGGGTCGGGACGGGCGGCGGGCCTCCGGTCGCAGTCTCAGAAGTCTCACGCAGATGATGAGCATCCCATCTTCTAGCGTCCGGGGTCGGGACGGGCGGCGGGGCTCTGGCCGCAGTCTCAGAAGTCTTACGCAGATGAAGAGCATCCCACCTTCCAGCGTCAGAGGTCGGGACGGGCGGTGGGGCTCCGGTCGCAGTCTCAGAAGTCTCACGCAGATGAAGAGCATCCCACCTTCCAGCGTCAGAGGTCGGGACGGGCGGCGGGGCTCTGGCCGCAGTCTCAGAAGTCTCACGCAGATGATGAGCATCCCACCTTCTAGCGTCCGGGGTCGGGACGGGCGGGGGCCTCCGGTCGCAGTCTCAGAAGTCTCACGCAGATGAAGAGCATCCCACTTCCAGCGTCCGGGGTCGGGACGGGCGGCGGGGCTCCGGTCGCAGTCTCAGAAGTCTCACGCAGATGAAGAGCATCCCATTTCTAGCGTCCGGGTGGGACGGGCGGCGGGCTCCGGTCGCAGTCTCAGAAGTCTCACGCAGATGAAGAGCATCCCACCTTCCAGCGTCCGGGGTCGGGACGGGCGGCGGGGCTCCGGTCGCAGTCTCAGAAGTCTCACGCAGATGATGAGCATCCCATCTTCTAGCGTCAGAGGTCGGGACGGGCGGCGGGCCTCCGGTCGCAGTCTCAGAAGTCTCACGCAGATGAAGAGCATCCCACCTTCCAGCGTCCGGGGTCGGGACGGGCGGCGGGGCTCCGGTCGCAGTCTCAGAAGTCTCACGCAGATGAAGAGCATCCCATCTTCTAGCGTCCGGGGTCGGGACGGGCGGCGGGGCTCCGGTCGCAGTCTCAGAAGTCTCACGCAGATGAAGAGCATCCACCTTCCAGCGTCAGAGGTCGGGACGGGCGGTGGGGCTCGGCCACAGTCTCAGAAGTCTCACGCAGATGCATCCCACGTTCTAGCGGTCAGAGGTCGGGACGGGCGGCGGGGCTCTGGCCGCAGTCTCAGAAGTCTCACGCAGATGATGAGCATCCAACCTTCTAGCGTCCGGGGTCGGGACGGGCGGCGGGCCTCCGGTCGCAGTCTCAGAAGTCTCACGCAGATGAAGAGCATCCCACCTTCCAGCGTCCGGGTCGGGACGGCGGCGGGGCTCCGGTCGCAGTCTCAGAAGTCTCACGCAGATGAAGAGCATCCCACCTTCCAGCGTCAGAGGTCGGGACGGGCGGCGGGGCTCCGGTCGCAGTCTCAGAAGTCTCACGCAGATGATGAGCATCCCACCTTCTAGCGTCCGGGGTCAGGACGGGCGGCGGAGCTCCGTCCATCGCATGGGTAGCCGGTCGCAGCTCATGAGTCGTCATAGTCAAGTCAAGTCCAGGATATTTGTGGTATACATGATACTCAGGGTGTGAGGAGGGGTTTATCCACGCGGCCGGCTGACCAGGAGATGAAGGGAGGACTTCTGGAAAGAAAAGATATGGCAACGCATAAGGAAGCATGGCGGTAGGAGGATGAATGCTGTCTTGATTTTTTTAACCATCACCAGTGATTCGGCGAGTGATTTTAAAATGTAGGATCAGGTAGTGAGCCAAAAAAGAACAATGTCTAAAGAAAAACCAGAAAAATGATTGAATTATGATGTGTTGATTAGCATAGATACAAGTAGATTTGGGTGGACTGAGTAACTGGTAACAACACAAATGTAGGCACCATAGTCACGTCTTACCTCGTCCATTTTTACGTGAGTGACGCTGCGCGCCTTTATGTCTGCCACGGGAGTGGAGAGCAGCAAGCAGCATCCTCTCCCATATGATCCAGCTATGCGCCCTGTCAAATATTGATAGCTATTAGCTAACATAAAATACTAAAGGAAGTTCCCAGCCAGCAATTGGTTTGGCTCAAGTCCGTTTTGCCCTAGCGACTCCGGCACGCCAGATTTGGGCCGGTGTAAACGGAACGCCGTCGGAATAAGAGTTTGGGTCGATATGGCTCTATTCCGGTTAACCAGTCTTTGCCGTAGCGTTCCGGAGCTAGTATGGCTTCGGACCGACAAGTCCGGCCGGCACTAGCGAGCGGTGGCCTGACCTGACCTTGCCGGAGGGGCCGTGACGTCACCGGCGGGCGGTCAGAGCGAGTCGGCAGAGCTCACTCTCGACGGCCCGAGCGAGCGAGTGAGGATCGGTGTGAATAGGACATAGGGGAGGGAGGGGAGGGGGGGAGGGGAGGGAGGGGAGAGAGAGAGAGAGAGAGGAGAGAGAGGAGAGAGAGAGAGAGAGAGAGAGAGAGAGAGAGAGAGAGAGAGAGAGAGAGAGAGAGAGAGAGAGAGAGAGAGAGGCGGCCGGCCAATAATTAGGCAGCCAACACTGAGTGAATGAAGCACACGATGCTGACAACGTTACGGAGTTAACTATAAGATAATGTCATGCGTTTAATGTGATTGGATTTTTCACTTAAATGCTTTCTTCCTTTGGACCCACAACCCCTAATTTGGGGAGGACAAGCTGCCCCAACGGTTCCTGACCTTATGAAAAGTTGTGGGGCACCGCCCCCACGGCCCCAGAGTTGTGGGGGCTAGCTGCCCCACTGCCCCCGGTTCCCGCGCCTATGTATGAATCTATGAAATTATGTTGGTATATTTCCGATTTCGATCCTCCAGTTGGAGGGGCTCAAATACCTTACGAGCCCCCTTCCCAGCCGAAAAGTTGGAGGGGCTCAGCACCCCCTAGCCCCCCCCCCCCGGCTCCCGCGCCACTGCCCCCCCCCCCCAAGGCAAATCATGGGCATCATAGCATTTATTGCCCCCCCCAAACTAACCGATGAGCCCCCATGGGGGTATGGGGCCCTGGCCCTTATTCGATTATCACGAGGCTCAAGAAACACACGCCAGCTATTCGCACAGCTCCCATACCGGTCTTTGAGGGTCCTACAATGACCTCTGAGGGTCCCTCAGTGGCGGTCATGCGCCCACCTTGACCGCTGAGCCCCCAGCATGACATTAAAAACTCAGACCACCAGCACGGCGCAGGTTAATAGCATCTGCAAATTTGAGCACTCTACTAAGCTATGCCTTCGTCGATTGTATTTACATAAATTTTGAACATGAGACCTAATACAGCTCTGAGGAACCCCAATCAGAACATTTTTCCCACCTTGCCCTTCACCATTTAGCACTATACGCTGCTGGCGTCCTGTCAACCGGGTCTAGTATATTCCCTTCATGCCTTGCAGCTTCAATTGCAATACTATCCTTATGTGTGGTACTTTATCAAACGCATTATTGAGGTCAAGGTATGCTACCTACATCAAACTGCTTTCTTTGCCAAAAGTGTTTGTATCTGTCGCAGCTTCAAAAAAGTCTAGGTTAAACATAAACAGCCTTTATTTAACTCATGCTGGATATTGCCTATCACACTGTTTTCATCCAAAGATTCTACCACTTTCCCTAGATTATGGATTCCAATATTCTGCAAACCAAGGAATACTTCGACAGTGACTGTAACTCACCTCGTTTGGTATCCATCTGTGATTGGATAGTGGAGACTGACGCCAACCTGAAAACAAGTGTTATTGGCAGTCAAGGTGTGAGAGGTGCATACACTAAATATTGCCGCTTGTATCATTGAAACTTTTACATCCGTCCGCCCGCTCATTGCCAGCAACACCAACATGACTAGGGATCCAGCAAAAAGTGATTGATGTTCCCTCTCGGTCGAGGGCTGTCAGACGGAGAAGAATCTCCTGTACGAGGAGGTCGGTCGAATAGAATTGTGTCAAGGCCTGGAGACCACTCAATGAGTCAGATGGGCTCCTATGTAGCCACACTTATCTCCATAAAGGACCAATGCGCCGGTTTCTGAGAGACCTTGCCGGCTTCTGAGGGCCCTAGTAACGGCCAATGAGGGATCAGCTGCAATGGCTCCACACCCGTCTGTGATAGCCCCACGGCCCACACCAGTGTTTCTAAAAGCCACCACATCGGCACCTGCGAGGCCCCTCACGCCATCTCCAAGGGACCCACATCAGCGCATCGCCCGTAACCCTCGCCGTATTGTAGTAACATTAACCCTCGCCCGTATTGGTGTTTTTCCAGCCGCGAACGTATAGGTAAGGGGGCGGGGCCCGTTGCCCCCCCCCTTGCCGTTTCGCCTATGATTGAGCTAGTTTCGCAGAAAAAAAACGAGCGTGTTGCCCGTGACGAGAGGAAACCGATGACACCCAATATTAAGGTCCTAGTTCATTGGTTGACCTTCCAGGTCAGGTCAAAGACCCAGAAGTCGGGAAAATCGGGACCTGTTAGAACGTCGTAGTGTGGCAGTGTGGCTGATATGGGGGCTTTCGGGGTGTTGATCACGAATATCATGTTAATTTTGATCACAGATGATGTCCTCATGCATTTTAACTGGGCCGGGTCAGGTCAGGTCAGGTCAACCAGTAGGGGTCCTGCCGGGTCTTCGCAGTAGGTGTCAACCGCCTCTGACAGCTTCGTAACATGTTACGAAGGCACCAAAACTACTTCGTTAAAGGAAGGGTGCCACCTTCCGAAATTTTTGTTCTATGAATCTATTTACTTATTTGAATTTTTAGACGTGGTTAGCGCGTCCACAATATACAAAAAACCGAAACATTGCATTTAATACATTGGCCAAAAAAAAAGATCGTTGTTTATATCACCACTACAACTCAAGGTCGTTTGATGTGGCAGCTAGGACGGCTGGCATATCCTGTTGTCATGGCAACATATCATTCTGCCATTTGCATTGATGGCGCAACTGAGACAAAAATCAAATCAAATAAATACATCAATAAAATACATCAAATAAATACATCAAATAATAATAATAATAATAAATAAATACATCAAATAAATACATCAAATAAGTCGAGTAAAGGTTTTTCCTTTACAATGTTTAAGAGATCTATGGAACCCTTCACCCTTCATGCAACTTACTAGAAAAACTTCCCAATTAAAATTTTAAAACTTAAGTGTATACCATAAAGAAAAAATATACCCTTTCAAAATGATAAAACATGCTTCAAAAGTATAACTTTTATACATACCTTTGCTGATTTCATGTTTTATAAAATACCCTTAACACGACGAGGAAATAGTGCTGAAGATTTTTGCCTGCCCGAATGCTGGCAGCAAAACTCGCAAATGATAACTTCACGTGCGGATTCAATGCTGACCGTCTCGAGCATAGGTAAGTGAAGCCGGTTTTTAGGTTCATGTGAGGCTAATCTTGTAAAAACTGCGTTGTGTCCAAAAGGTGGCACCCTTCCTTTAATGTTCATATGGTTGCTAAATTCGAATTCAGCTCCAAAAACTAGCCTAGAAACATGTAAAACTCGAAAAAGTGAACCGAGGTCATCAAAGGTCAATGACCTGACCAGACCTTCAGGTGACCTTGACACCCACCCTAATGCATGGGGGCAACATCATATCACATGTTTGAACGCCTGAAACCACGAAAAGACTGGAAACGCGCGGCTAATGCGAGCCGACATACGCCGAACCGCGATTCCGGCCAAACATGGGCTCGAAAGTAGGTCACAGGTCAAAGGTCATTTAGGTCAGGGTCATGAAATTTTTAGGGTAGGTGTAAAATTGAATAACCCGAGGGTACTGAAAGTTTCGTCGCGATCGGCCGCTTTTTACGCGAGTTATTCGCGAAAAACCGAGGGGGCCGTTCGACCCCTCCCCTACACGAACGTGGGTTAAGGGCCTACATCGGCGGCTCTGAGAGTCCCCAAACCAGCGTCTCTGAGGGCCACGTACCAGTGACTGGGCCAGTACCAGTGATGGCCTCTTACCAGCCTCTGAGTGTCCTTGCCAGTCTTAGTCTATGAACTATGAAAGGCCACTTTCCACTTTCAGGCCACTGTGCAGGGCCACGCACATGCCAATGATGGCCCCACCAGTGTCTCTAAGCCCTAAGGCCCCGCGGCCCGCAACGGCGGCTGTGAGGACTCAACACCAGCGCATCTGACGGCCTTTCACACCGGTGACTGAGGAGCTCGCTTGCTTCGTTTGCTCGTAAAATACCATGCACATTAGGCACACTCCTTGGGCATAAATGGTATTTTTACGTGCCAATTTTTAACATTTTCTCAGGGCAGACCGTTTTAAAGAGGCCTGTCTGCCAGTGGGACCGGACCCACCGTGCCCCCCTCCCATCGAAAGGTCCTGGATACGTCCCTGCCTGGGCTGACCCCGGGCCCCCGGGTGACTCGCGGGCCCCTTCAAGAGCAGGTGATCCCCTCGTGGGCGAAATCCTGGGTACGTGTCTGACGTACATCGTGCATAGTTAATCCAACAACTATTTGTCATGTTGATTTGATTTTTTAAAAATAAATTTAGTCCGAACCTTTTGATGGGAACACGGGCGTAGGAACGTCATGAAAAGTGGGTGGGCCACCCTGTCAAGGGGCCTCCTTTTCCAGGGGGCCTCCTATTTTCAGGGGCCTCCAACTTTTGCCTCGTCCTGCCGGCTGCTTTCAAGTATGACCTCCAAATCTAGCTTCTGAGATCGAGCAGATGTACCCAGGGGCGTAACCGCTTCAGCGAACAGTGCGGGAAGTCCGCACCATTTTTAAAACTTATTCTCCCTCCGATTTTTTTTTAGAATCTATATGCCGCAAACGGTGCATGACCCCTGAAAACCCTTACACAAATGTCTTCCTCGTTTCCCAGGTGCCCCCATTAGCTTTATAGGCGCCCTCTTTGGCATATAAGCGCCCTATGTATAGTCATCAGAGACATCCCTATATGTCCCACAGTCGCCCCGTTGTCGCATACAATGTGCGCTTATCATAGGCGTCTCTCTTTTATGGACACTTGAAGGCGCCTCTCTTTGCCATGCCGGCGCCCCTGTTTCTTATGAATGCACCCTCATGGCATCGATCCATTGCAGTGCAGACCTCTATTGCATGTGGACGCCCATATATGTAGGCCTCAGAGGCACCCCTCTTTCGCATTAAGGCACACCTAAGGGCTTCATAGGCGCCCTTCTATTGCACGTAGGTGCCCTACTGTCTCAGAACCGCTCCCCTTTGGCATGCAGACGCCCATCTTTCGACAGAGGAGCCGCTGTGGTTCTTAAGACGGCATGTTACTCCCAGACGCAGATGGGGCTCTCGGAGTCGGGACCTTCAGTCGATGATGGGTGCCCGCCAGATGTGGACCCTCGGAGACGCCGGTATGGGGCCCTCAGAGATGCCGGTATGTGGCCCTTAGAGACACCGGTGTGGAACCCTCAGATACTTCAGTGTGAAGCCCTTACAATTGCTGGTGTGGAGCTATGAATGCGCTGGCTTAAATCCCTCAGAGGCCGGTACATGGACATTAGAGCTCAGTGAGAGCTTGGCTTGTGTGGTGCCTTCAGTGGCCTTGTGGAGCCGTTAGACATCAACATTCAACATGGTGCTCTCAGGAGCCGGTGAGTCCTCAGAGTCACCGGTGTAGGGCCTTCAGAGCTCCGAGATACTGGTGTGGGGCCCTCAGAGGTGTCGGTGTGGGTCCTTCATATGTACTTATAGAGCCTTGAGATGCACAGGTGTGGTGGCCCACAGAGGCGCCGGTGTGGGGCCCCCAGAGCCACCGATATAGGGCCCTAAGAGACACTAGTATGACCCTCAAAGGCGCCGCTGTGTGGCGCTCATAAACACTGGTGTGGAGCCATCACAGGCGGGTGGAGCCGTTAGAGGCCGGAAAGGGCCCTTAGATGCCTACAAGGAGCCTTCAGAAGCCGGCGTGGCACCCTTATGGGAATAAGCGTGTCTACTTAGGACCCCTTGAGGTGCTCTCATGTGCTCTGTGGGGCTCTACCGAGCCGAAATATGGCCACGGCAAGTTGCCGCCACCTGGCTCTTCGGACTATCATTCTCAGGGGCCTCATCTGCCTAGTTTGAATAGAAGGGCCTCTCAGAAAATCAGTCTCATGGGCCTCCTCTGGCTAGTATAAATAGAAGGGCCTGTTAGACCATCAATCCTAGGGCCTCTTCTGGTTAGTATAAATAGAAGAGCCTCTCAGACCATTAATCTCAGGGGGCTCCTGTGGACAGTATAAATAAAAGGGCCTCTCAGACCATCAGTCTCGGGGGCCTCCCTAGAAAAGTGTAAATGTGGATAGAAGGCCCCCTCAGATTCATTAGGTGTGAACCTCTCTGACTATCAGTCTTAGGGGCCTCTTGTGGCCAGTATGAATATAAGAGCCTCTCAGACCATCGGTCCCAGGGGCCTCTTCTGACTAGTTTGGATAGAGGGCCCTCCCAGACCACCGGTTTCAGGGGCCTCCAGTGGCCAGTTATATGAACAGAAGGGCCTCACAGCCATCAGCCTCGGGGGCCTCTTCTGACTGGTGTGGATATGAGGGCCTCTCATACCATCAGTCTCAGGGGCCTCCTCTGCCTAGTGTGAATATAAGGGCTTCCCAGGCCATCAGTCTCAGGGGACTCTTCAGACTGGTGCCGGATTGAGGGACCTCCCAGTCCCAGACAGAAAGTTTTGGGGGGTCTCCTGTGGCCAGTATGAATAGAAGGGCCTCTCAGTCCATCAGTCTCATGGGCCTCTTCTGCCTGGTGTGATTATAAGGGCCTCTCAGGTCATCAGTCTCAGAGGCCTCCTCTGACTACAGTGTAGATGGATAGGCCTCCCAGACCATCAGTCTCAGGGGCCTCTTCTGACTATTGAGGATAGAGGGGCCTCCTCTGACTAGTGAGGGTAGGGGGCCTCGGCTAGACCGCCAGTGTCAGGGGCCTATTCTGACTAGTGTGGATGGAGGGGAGGGGCCTCCCAGACCACCAGTCTCAGACCTCCGACTAGTGTGGATAAAGGGGCCTCCCAGACCGCCGGTGTCAGTGGCCTCCCCAGACCAGTGTGGATATTGGGGCCTCCTCAGATCCACTAGGGCCTCTCAGGCCATCAGTCTCAGGCGCTTCGACTGTCAAGTATGAATAGAGGGCCTCCTTGGATCCATCACGGCACCTTGGAGTCCGTGCGTGGGGATTCGTGGAACTTATTTTTACCAAGTTTGTTTATTATGGGAGGTGACGACGTCCTCTCAAATCGAGACGAGGGCCTAGAGTAAAAAGTGGGTGGGCCAAAACACATGGTTGGCCCCCACTCGAAAAGTGGGTGGGCACTTACCCACCTGCCCACCATTGGTGTACCCTATGTTCCAGTGTTGCAAAAGTTGCCGCTGATTGGTGTCTCCAGACACCAAAGATTTTTGTACTCAGTACTCATCATAGAAAAAAATATAATTTTGTACTCACTTTTCAGGGAAACTGAAATCAATGGGTAAACCCCATAACGATAGCATGCCAGTCAAAAGTTAAGTGTCCACTGAGTTAGAAATAAATGTAATGTAACAAAAACAAGCATTACCCAGCCACAGCCCACAACAATCACAAAGTTTAATTCGCCGAAAGTAAAGTCTTTCAATCACTGGAAGAAATTACCCAATCTACAACCACAACCTACAACCTAAAACCTACAATCTACAGCATCACATATGGTAGCTCGTGCTATGTCTGCCCTACCAATGCCAAATTTATAAGCATATAGGGAGTGACCATGTGCTAATTTAGTAAAGGAGAAAATGTAAGCAATTAATTTGTGCAGTAGCATAAGTCACAACTAAGAAATTGGCCAAACATGTCAAAATAGCAATAACAGCAGTGTCCAAGAGCTAAGTGGATTTCTTAAAGGCAATTCCGAGCATTCCGAGCCATTGCTAGATTTTCATTTATCTTCTTTGATGGGGTAAGAAAATACAAATGACATTTTGTAAGCATGATTTCAGAACCTATCCATACAACTTAATGTAAATAATAAAATGATTACAGGCAGTAAAAACAAAATTGTTTAAGTTTTTTAACCATGCAGGTTATCTACGAAGGTAGTCGTAAAGCAGGCGTCACACTTCTTTTTGCAACCAAGGAAAGGCGCTCTACCCAAAGTTGCTTTCTTATCGAACCAAACCAAACCAAACTGAACCTAACCTTACCTACAACCTACAACCTAGAATCTACCACCTAAACCACCTAAAATCTACAACCTAACCTAGTACCTACAGCGCCTCTCCTTGGTTGCGAAAAGAAGTGTGACGCCTGCTCTACTACTACCCCTACGAAGCCCCGAAACATCAATACCCAATAGGTACCCATATCATGCAGATATTATTATCATGTAAAACATTGGACCCAGCCCAATACCATCAAAGGTAAAGTCATTCAATTGTTAACTAGCATACCTACTTAGTTTGAATTAAAATATTAAATTCAGTTGGTTTCTATGGAGCATTTAATCAGTAGGTATTTGATTGCATCTGGTTGCTTAGTTTGGTGGGTAAATTTGCAAAGGATGGCTGTCTGCATGGGGATATTGCATAAATTTATTAATATTTTCCGAAGTTGAATTGCGATTGAATCAACATTCAACAATGAAAACCCTAAAACTTACCTGCAACATCAACATAACCTCCACACTGACACCAACTCCACGTCCACACCCTCCGAAGTAATCGAAGTAACTTCACTTCAAAATGGGTGCAAAATGGCACAGTGTATATAAATACAAAATGGCAGATGCATGCTGCATTGCATAACAGGTTGTGCGCCACTTTGGCCTAAGCTGAAAGAGGCCATATAGGGAAATGCCCTGCGCAAATGTTCAAATAAACAGGATATTCAAATCGTGATTTTCAAATATGGTAGCTCTTCATATCAGAACAGCGACGTCTTTCCACTTTGTTCAAAATCTGTGCAAGTCGCGTGAGGTAATAAACCCGATTTATTACAACGTTCTCAGATGTCGCTGTAAATTTTTTTCCCGACCTTTCACGTTAAATCCTGACATTTCAATTTATTGCATCATAAGATGATGTAATAACCTGAAATGTTTTGAAATTCCGGTTTATCGCAACAAAATGATACAATAAATCGGGTTTTACAATGCAGTCTGATGGCTTGTAGTGTTTCCGAAGGTTGCTGTCAAACTTCATAAACACCTCTCTCATTAGACAGAATTTGTCCCCAGGGCGCCGGTCGGCTCTGGTGCCGCTGTCGTCGAACCGCACTCTTGATAGAAGTTTCACGTACCTCGGCAAACTCATGGTCGCTCGAAACTGAGCTGGAACGAATGAGCCGGTGAACAGTGTGGACGCCGACTCCAGAGGAAAGTGTCTCTCAGGACGTTTAGTGCGAAAAACGCCAGGAGTTCGGTGCGGTCGATCGGCATGAAGAGGTGTTCATTTTTTTTTTTGTCCAGTGTCTCTGTTTGGTGCTCGACTCGTCATGAACTTCCTTCTCTGCTCTTCCAGTTTTTGGTTTGTGTGGGTGACGCAGGGCTCAAAAAAGGTCTCCGTGGTTGTCCACGGACACTTGAAGGTCGTGGGGTCAGAATCAGAATCAGAATATATTTAAAGCTCATCCAGACAATCACTGGTTTTTCATGTGCTCGCGTCAACAATATGGGCAGAGGACACTTAACCGGTAAAAGACACGATATGGGTAAAAGACATTTAAAACATGTAAAACAAAAGTGGAAGTGCTAAGATCACAATAAAAGCTCCTGTGCGTACATATATGTGCGTTCCCCGCCGCGCCGTGCACAAGTATTTCTTGACGGTCCCTCTGAACGCCGATATGCGGGTCTCCCTAATGTCGCGCGGCATGGCATTGAACGCGCTGGCGGCTCGATAGGCAAACCTTCGCTTGCCAGACTCGGTTTTGACACGTGGCAAAACAAGAAGGTCATCCTGTCTGGTCGACCTCGATCTCACACTCAGCGCGGTACGAAACAACTAGCACGAACAACTAGGCCTTAACAACTAGCACATAACTAATGCCTGTCCTAATGAACGAATCTCATACATGTAACACTTGACACGAATGAGTCAGCTATGCGACATTTACATTGCCACAATGCACAACCGCGACGATCAATACAATTTCAATACAATTTCAGAGCTCCAATGCTGCAGCAGCAAGACAATGGCAAACACAACGGCTCTGCAACTGAACCATTGAATCACTTTGAATGACTCACTAAGTCGCTCTGAATACTGACTCATAAAGTCACTTTTAAGCCGGCAGTGGGCTGACTCACGATTGCAGACTGCGAACTCTGCAAACCGCTGCGACCTGAGACGCTGACTCCTCCGGCGCGGTCTGGTGCAACATGATGCCGAGCCGCGCTGGCCAGCGCGCCGCAGCAGCAGACTCGGCGGCAGACGATTCTCCGGCGGCAGATAGCTCCGGGCCGTCCGACGCCACCATGAAGAAGAAGCTTCCGAAACTGTTACCTCCTCGGACTTGGATCGTTCGCCTCCGTTATACGCGCCATCAGTTCAGATGTTTATTGGCGATTTCTAAAGACACAAGACAGAACATTCTATAAACACACAAAAGAGGAACGTTTCACACAAAAACAGAGACATTAAAACGCGACGACATTCTACAAGACAAACGAAAACACTGAGCATAAGCCTATGCCATTGCAAATGAAGCATACAAGGCAAAAATAGAGCAATCGAACGGCGCAATACGAAAACGGAATGACTTCTGGAAATTAATATCGAAACTAACATTCTAAAATACCGACAATCTGTAAATGTTCGAAATATAGTAAAGCTTACCGGAAGGTGTGCTCCTAAAGCCCTCGGAGGAAGAAAAAGGCACCGGGCGAAAACGCACCCGCCTTCGGCTCTGACCGGCCAGCGAATGCTGGGCCGGAGCGGCGGCCGGGCCGGCCCCCGCGCCGTGCAACCCGACGCGGAGGGGCGCCGCCCCGTCGTAGACGGCACGTGGCGGCGGCGTGCAGCGGCGGTAACACAATTAATAAACAAAATTTCCCTCTAACAAATCACCGCCTAATTAAATCTTAAAATAATCTGTGATTAGAGCGGGAGGCCCAGCTCTAATCAGACATGAAGAACGATGAACGTCAGCACTAGCAATGATGCTTAGTAGTTATGTGGTGCTGTGGGGCTGTTCACCACATATCAGTGACTGGATTTTACGTTAATCAGAAATGGAGAATATCAACCTGGTGCGTGTTTCAAAAATTCAATCAGTTCGATCCAAACGGCCCCAAGTAAAAGAATTAATTTAAGAGCGGGTTGTTATATTTTGAAGTTCCAAAAACGAAGTCAAAAACCGAAACAACGAATCATGCAGTGGAGTGACTAAAAGACGAGAATGGAATCCAAGTTTGCCAAATATGCCCTGCCTAATCTAACAAGTTCTAGATCCCGGACAGAACGGGCCTAATGGAGCCAGACGTGACGCGTCTGCTCGGGTCAAGAGCTCGGCCTAGAATGGCCGGGGGAGCCCGCGCAGCGGGCCGGGCCCCAGACATGCGCAGAAACACTCGGAGACCACGCGGCGGCGGATCGAGCGCGGATTGGTCAGCTGACTGCCGCATTGCAGGCTGCAGACACGCGGTCGCCTCGTGAAAGGGTACAAAGTTCACTGGCGCGCCCTGGGCCGCCCCCAGCACCGGGGGGGGGGGGGGGGGGGGGGGTAGCAACGTCACAACAAGTCGGCGCGTGAATCGGTCTGCGCCGGCCCGGGGACTCCCGTGCCGGCCGGCGGCACACGTGGTTATTGCATCATCGAGACGAGGCAACGAATAACGCAGGCGCACCACAGTTAAACTACTTACCTACACTTCTGGTATTTCTTTGTGATGGACTTTCTTATGAGTCTCGTATGATGAGTTAAAGGGGTGCTTTGGTGACTTACCTCGTCGCCCTCGTCGGCCTCAGTCCCGTGACTGTCGTCACCTCCGTCGCTGCTCAGTACCACGCGGAAGGCTTTGGTCATGTTGGCCGCGCTGTCTGTTACGGCAACGATCACCTTTGTCGTGAGCTCGGATGCCTCAATAATGTCACGGTGATTCCATGCTATTTTCGAAGCAGTGTGTCGGTCAGCAGAGCTCGTCTTCAGACTTGCGATCCTTTGCATCATGCGTCTGGCACATAATTCTGTCTCGCCATTACTGAGACTCATGACCGTCGTCCGGAACAACGCTATCAGCTTCTCCACAGCCTCAGCGTTCATCTTGTTGGTCGGTTTGCCGGCTGCTGCTGATGCACCCACCACACTGGTAAAGTCGTCACTAGAATCAGACTCCTGGGTCAGCTGTCTCAGGTGCCACCTCTTCCTTTACCTATGATGGCTCTGGCTCCTGAGCGGTGTCTCACCCTCTCAGAGAACTAAGCACAAAACTCCACGGGAGGAACGGTCCCGTGGCCGAGCCCCACAGACACCAGCCAGTGACGAGTCTCCTTTGACCACGCGGCGCACTTTGGCAGAGCGATATTGGCTCCCAATTCTTGGTTTGAGTCGTTTGATTGAGTTGATTGATTCCTTTCATTGTCGCGTTTGAGTCGATTGAATCAATTCCCGAAAACTGCTCTGACTTGATTGATTTGATTGGTTTCCCAAATTTGTCGTGATTGAATTGATTGCTATTGATTGAGTCGTATACAACCCTGCTCCCAGCCTGGCCTTAGCGCGCAGGCCTCAGGATTTACTATCCCCACGCCTCCCACCCTCCTCGTATCTATCTATTTCTGACACGCACATATACACGGACAAGCAGACACCCACCTTTCGTCGTCGTCATATGACGGATAGCGGGACAGCTTGAAGTTGCCGTCAACACGAACACCGGACAGCTCTTGCCCACATGCTTCGCAAATAGCATGACGTGAAGTCTGTACCATCATCGCTTGCTGCTCGAGCTCCATGTTTGCCCATTGTGAGTAGGTCTTCTCAAACCGTTGGAGATCAATGGGCGCCACATGAGAAGTAGTGAAGCGCTGTCAATTTGGTTTGTTTCTTTAACATTTGTAAAAATGCTCTAAGTGGTCACAGCAGATCGGAAACGGAGCTCCCTCCACATGATAGCACGATCTTCGTACCGTGAACATAAGGACGGGTGACGCCACAAAATAGCCGCAGCCGCTGGTCGCCGTAACGGAAATAATTTTAATTCGTTACGCCACATGTTTTATGCGTGTTATGCTGCCAAAAGGCTTGTTATGCTATGCTAGCAATGCTGTTCGTGCCATCAATCTTGCTGTAAGAATAGGTTATCAATATGCCTACTTTTGTTTGTGTAGGTAGAGCTCAATCATCCAGGTTCCTCTATTTCTTGGCTCTGCACCCTTTTCCGTAGTTGTCGTCATCTGAAGGAGAAGGATCATCATTATCTTGTTGGCTTCCGAAATACTCCTGTTTTTCTGCTTCCAGCCCCCACGTCTCCGTGATGACTAAAGTGCAAATTGTGAATGCTGTCAGCAGGGTTCATAATGCGATCCACCCGAACGTGTCGGTGTTGCAGAACGATGTCGTGAACGCCTTGCGGCTCCCGGGGCATCAGGACCGCCACCTCGCCGGTCTCCGACAGGTGAAAGCGGTACTCGTGTTCCGTGGCGGGCCGTGGCTGTGCGCTCAGAAGGGCTCTGAGTGTCTGTTCTTCTCGACGCACCATCCCAAGGTGCATCCAGGAGGTGCCTGAGTGGAGACTCAGTCAGAGTCGGGCACACAACACCACCGATTGTGGTCACACCTAACAGTAGGGTGGCAGGCGTGAGCAGGTCCTCCCCATCACCCTGGGTGAGGGGGCGCAGATTGATAAAAAACGCCAACTCATAAAGAACGACAGACAGCTGTTCAAAGGAGAAATTACAGAGGTGCAACGATGCACGCAGAGCCGCCTTCGTCACACCCACCA